AAATATTTTCATCAATTATGTCATTTGAAAATGAGTGATCATTATTATGAGAGTTGATATTTTCAAAAAAATCTTTCTCCATAGCAACCCTACTATTAAAATCGCCGATTAGACAAATGCTATCAGAACTTTCAATAAAATTACTTGTTTCTCTTTCTATTTCATCGAAGATATCTGTGGTAGAAAAACGAGAATTTATTGGTGGGATGTAAACGGTACCAATAATTACATTATTTTGGAAATTAAAAGCTTTCCCTAAAAATCTTATCCACAAGACATGTTCACATTCATTTTCTATTATAGTAACACATTTAGAATAAATATCTCTAACATATACAACAATCCCACCTGATTTTCTCGAGGACAACGATAATCTATGTTTACAAAAGGCATTAAAATTTCTAATTTCTATATTATCAGCATTGTCTGTTTTTGTTTCTGTTAGGCAAATAATATCATTTTCATTTATAAATTCGATAAATTCAGGATTTTGTAATTTTGATGTGAGTCCGCAAACGTTTAGACTAATTATTTTCAACGTGTTGAGAGAGTTTTTCGTCTCATTGTTTACACATTGCAAGTCCTGTTTGTGCAGTTCTCCTTGGTTGTCCTAGTGCGTATTCGCATTCCTGATGTTTACGTGCGCTGTGTCCGGCGGCGGCGCCGCGCGGTTTTCAAATGCTGGAAATGATAATCGGTCTCCTAAATGGTTGGTCTGTAATGGCACCAATTGTCCCTCGACGAAAAGCTTGTCAACAACAAGTGTAGCCCTTTTCCCCTGTCTTTTGGCGGCTTTGTACTGGGGATATAGTTGTTTGCGCCGGAAAATAATCATATAAAATAGATGTAGTATCTAATTAACACAATCTTACCAGTAGCTAACTTTGTGTTTGCATCCCAAACCTTGTCATGTTTCTTTCCAGTTGGTATCTTATTAATGTGGTGGCAATTGGTATTGCTACATGGCACTACAAAATTTATAACCATATATAAATCTTAATAGACCTGGAGATTTATGCAATGATTGATGTGATAATTTTTTTTATGGTTTAAATCATTGAAGTGTGAGATTTATATGAGCACAGGTATTCAATAATTGACAGATGTGATCTCAGTTATATACCTTTTTTAGTAGAACCTTATTAATTGTTCAAATTGACTACATTTATTTGGTATTCTACATACATGTACATGTTATATAAAACTAATATTTTTTTTCCATTTCCAACTTAAACTGTGTTTACTAATGATTAAAAATTAAGTTATTATTATTAGCACCATATTCCTAAATATGAATGCATGAATCTCACAGATACATGTACTGATTTATGATGAAAGTGAATTTGAAGTTTTCTGAATTTTTTTTTCTTCTTCTTCTTCTTGTAAGTTAACCCATTTGGTCAGAGTTATAGGGTGTACTGTGTTACGTATCTGTGTATATAACCATAGGTATGACAGAGTAAGTTGTTACATCAAATATAACTGGATCCACCTAACCTCGTTCTCTGAATTAATCTCTCTTTATATATGATACATGTATGGTATTAATATTATGTTGAGCTTTTTAATGAAAAAACTCTGTAATGACTAAAAAAATGTAAAATTTCGTTGGAATTATTTTAAATGACCATACTTTCACTACAGCTGTACCTTTCAAGATAGCCCCAAGTCCATATGTGATGATACATTGTACCGGTGCAGTGGGAAAGATGCAGTGGGGTACCGCAGTTATGACACGCCCGAAGCCCCTCTGCAATAACACCTAACTCCACGACACGCCTGCCTCTCATCCATTCTAAATCAGTCCGCGGCTCTGCTTCGTCTATGATGATGTCGTCTGCGATGTCCGAGAGGGAAGGCCGGGACTCCCGAATATCGTAATTGTGCTCTCGTTTAACATAATCATGTTCAGCTTTAATAGAAAATGTCGACCAGCGACTTTGTAAACGATGTAAAACTTTATCAAATTTTTCTTCTTGTTTCTTGCTTTTAAAGCCAATACCTCTCCGTTTGTTTAGCTTTCCCATCTCTGTTTATCTCTCTCATGGGAACATACTGCAAATGAGTTTAATGTCGTAATATTGCAAGGCGATTTCTCAGAACCTTTTAACATCTATTATAACGCAATAAAAACAAAGACATAGAAGATTTTTAATTCTTAAATGAATATTTCGTCAAATCTGCAAAGAAAATTTCATCTAATCATTTAACTTTGAAATACGACAGGCATTCCGTAACTTGGCAGTTCCAGATGCGCAAAGTGTTCAAAATCGTGACGAGTGACATACCTTAAGCTTTCACATAAGTTTTGCCTTTTCTGGTCTGATGATGTTAAAAAAATAACAACCCTATCCTACTTTTATACCGGAAGTGGATATCCTTATAAAGTGAATTTCTTTGAGATATATATATGGGATGGAAATTTATTTAAAGCACTTAAAATGACCAACGGCACGAACAATAGAAATTGTCAAATTTTCGGGACGCCCTGTCTCTTATTCAGGGCAAAGAAAAAAGTTATGAAGTCATAAAAACAAAGGAAACAAACGGCTAGCACTACTACTAAATTACCAAACACTATATGTATTTACAATGTTACATGTTTAATTTGAAGTTTATAACCATTTGTAAAGAAAGAAATCCGGTCCGCTATTAAATAAGTCCGGTCTCTCGGGTGTACTCTGGTGAAGTGCGATTTACATAATTGAACGAATTAATTATCGCTAATTTTAAGCGATTATCTGTAACCACTTAAACTTCTTTGCCACGCATGGTCACCGATTTTGATGAAACTTTGCCCATTATTACAACTTGACACCAGAAACATATATCAAATAAAATTTCGTTGCTATATGTCTTGGTTGCCATGGTAACAGCCAGAAAAGTTGAAAAAATTGAGATTTTCAGCTACTTTGAATCTTTATTGAGCCTTAATAAAGACTAAGAAAAACAAACAAATCATTCTCCCAAAAACATGACACCTTGTTGCCACTTATGCTATAAAGAAACTATTTAGAATTTATCTCTAAGTAAGTGGTAACCATGGGTACATTTGGAATACATTTTAGATGCTAAAAAATGCTGAAAACGCTCAATATTCACAAATGATAGATGTTACATGGTCAAACTCAATCAACAACCTAAGAAAAACAATGAAAAATATTTGACCTTAAGTAATTAGGTATTGGTAATATTATTCTAAATATAACCTTCATGGTTGCCATGGTAACACAGTGTTACCATGCAAAATCTGGTGCTATGATTGGGTTAATGCTACTATCTTGAGGAAAAACAATAAAATTCATGACTGGCACATATACATCCTTAGGACCTTGCAACACCGACAACATAAGAAAAATTGGGATTAATTGTTTCTTTGCAGTGTAACCATGGAAACAACGTACTAGTTGTTTAAAGTGATATTTTTTGCTGCTTTAGGCATTTACTTACCTTTTAATCAAGAAACATATTATTTGACTCACCTTGAATAGTACTTATCTGATAGAACTAAAGTTTAATATCATATATTGATAAAGTTTGTTGAAAAAATACAACACTGTTGCTATGGTTACCAAGAAGAGAAAATGTTCGATTTTGTAAATTTTATGTCAATATTAAACCCTATGTGCCAGCTTTTTGCATCCAGTTAGAGATTGGGTGGTAGTCAAAATTGAAAGTCAGGTTAGTTGTTTATATATATCAATCATAAAAGTTTTGGGAATCTACATACAAGGGTACGTATCCAAGGAAACAGAATATTTTTCAGGTTTTTATGCATGTTTTTTCGCCTTATTTCCATAGCAACGCTCTATTTAAAGAATTGAATTTGAATTTTTTGAAATGTGAAAATAAGGGTCACACCAACGCCTTTAAAAATTGATCATCAGTTATATAGAAATATGCTTTTATAAAAGATAGGATAAGATTAAAACACTACGAGAGTAAATTTAAAATCCCTTCGTGGTATTAAAACCATGGCAACCATTGCCAACCTATGGGAAATATCATATTTTGTCCTTAGTACAAGTTACAAGGATCTCTTGTCTATTATTTGCTTGCATTTCAACCTATAATTGCTTTTATTCTGAAGTGTATGACTTTTTAAAATTAAATGAACAAAATTATTACTTTTGAATACTTTGTTTCCATAGTAACGTATATAATAGTTGATTTACCAAACATGTTTATCATGCATTTAAGACACCAGGCCTTCAACTTTCAGAAACAGTCATTGCCACTTGTTTGCTTTGCTGCAAACGTTAACTGGGGGATTCTGAACATGTTGAAAAATGCCATTTTTCAAACTTGAGGACACGTTGCTATGGTAACCATGACACGTAGCAACCAATTTTTGCCTGATTTGAGTTTACGGTATTAAAGACTTTTATCATAGAGAGTTTGGAGAAATTCTGAGACTATGCGTGCCACAGCTCCTATATAAAAGTTCAAGTCATTACAGAGAATGGCTCTTAATTACGGGCAAGTAACTATACATGATAAAATAGCGTAACTATACATGATAAAAAGAAGATAATATGGAGGGATATTTTACAATATGAATTTGGATGTATTATACATTTGGAAATGTTTTTAGGATTGTTTATCGGATAAGAGAAATATTAAACAAAAATGTAAGCAATAAATATATAAATAAAATATAATAGTATACAAGGATTGGCATTTGCGATAATGCATTGTTCTTTATTAGTTTTTGATGTTTGTTGGTAATACCAGTGTTATAACATTTAAATTTCTTCGCAGCTTCATTCATCTTCACATTTCCATGGTATCTAATCCGAGTACATACATGTAATTAACCATTATAAACAGCATTGGCATTGACTTATAAAAATTGTCAAACTGATACTAGTTTAGAAATTTATTATATTGGTTTGGAGAGAGCGAGAAAGAACTACAACAAACTTGTTTTTAATTATTTGTCTCATATTAGCAAAGCAATGATACATTGATTTATCTCAACATGTACAAAAGTGGTTAAGATCTTTTATTTGTTTGTTGTTGTTTTTAAAAAGAAATCCGTTTACTAACTGTCCAACAGTTTATTGAAGTCTATGTTATTTCTTTAGACGGTTTTTCGTTTTTCTACCGTCATCCAATGTAAATCCTGATTTCAGAATGCGGCCTAAGGTATGACCTATCTTGACCTTTCTTTGTGGAATAGTTGTTCGCCATAACACGTGCTGGTTGTCCCTCCGTCCAAATACTGGAATTTCAGCTTCCACCTCTGGTAAGGAACGTTTACAAGGACACTTTTGTAGTTTTTGTCGCTGTTTCATAAAGTGGTAAACCCTCGATCCAGGACCTATAATTATGAAAATGAAATACTGATAAAATACTTTAAAGTCGAGTATTGAACAATGTTGTTTACTAGTATACATCAAAACATGTCGAGGTTTTATAAATTCGTGGATGAGGGTTACAGATCTGGTGCCCTGAGATAGTAATGTAGGGACGTCGAGACTCTTACTTGTAGGAGTATCTATTACCCTGGGAATCAATGAAATTTGAACCCCAAACAAAAAAATGGTTCTGCAGATTTAGATAAATTTTCAACTGTAAAATACTGTAAGAATGTATTCGGAATTTCAAAAGAATATAAAGAAGAGAACAATTTCCCGGAAAAAAGGTCACATTTTAAAATCAATGTTAACTTGTTGGTTTGAATATATTTTATTGTTTAGAAGTTAAAACAAAAGGATCAGACACAAAATTCTTAAAACTTTAAATGTCATCTCCTTATGACAATTAATAGCTTAAAATAATGTTCAAAAAATTAAATACTCTGTAACCAAAGTATTGGCTTACATTAACTATTCATGTACAAAAATATTATTTGATGTTTTTATGTACAAATGAATCGAAATAAGATTTAAACTCAAAAACGACCAGATCTCTCTATAAACAATTGCAAATAAAACTTCATCATTTTCGGAAATACTGAAAAGAAAACATTATTTTATTATTTTCTACCGTATAGCCTATATGTCTAAATTTTTCAAAATTCATTATTTGCAATTTATGAATTAATCTTCAAAGTTGGTTTAAACGGCATTTATATTCACTGTTAAAGCACTGATTTTTGCACGAATTTTGGCCTAGAATGCCTTCAGGGCAGGCCTGCCTCAAAATAAAATCATGATATAATGATAGTTTGTGATATAAAGAATCATTTCAAGTAGGATTAGCGTAGGGGCATCTCTGCCCTAGAATTCACAAAATAAATAAATAAATAAATAAATAAATAAATAAGGAAACTTGGTTTACTATTACATGTATATACAGTCAGTATGGCTGCGATGGTTAGACCGCGGACTCTAAATATCGTAAGTAGGCCTACTTTTTGTGTCCCCTGAAGAGCAGAGCGACACTTTGGAATCACCTTACCCGGCGTCTGCCTGTCCGTCTGTGGAAAGTCTATGCTATTTAGCATGTGCACTGTTTGTCATAAAACATTATAAAATAAACCCAGTTTTACAATCCACTTGACTTAGACCTTTGATCTACTTTGCAAAATATTACCCCGGACAGTTTAATTTTACATACATCTTTTGAATTTTGAGAGGCAGGGTTATGATAATTAGCATTTATATATGTTTATGAGCTCATTATACTGTACTTTGAAACTGTATGGTATTCAGTTATCACACAAACTTAAATTTTAATAGAATGACAAGAGACTCAAAGGTCTTAACGGTCACCTGAGTATAATACAACACTATAAAAGATCCATAGAAATATAAAACAAAATTAACTGATAGATGAACCAATAAATGTTGCTGAGAATTTCAAAAATCTGGTAATGAATGCAAAATACATAAATATGGACAATGAACACTTGCAAAGTGTGTAAGGTATTCAATACCGGTATATAAATTTATATATGTTTTTGTCATTTGCCTAGTGCTACAATTAAATACACAGAGAGAGTTGGCTATTTGCCAATTGTCACTAACTAGAACATGTCCCCTAATCACCCTAGATCTCTGTGATCACTTGTTCACTTTGATAAAGTATTAAAGAACCTTATGAAGTCTCTTGCCAACCATCACTTTACCTATCAATAACTCGTCAATTGTCAGACAAGACACCAGAGTTCATTGGTCCTTTTGCTTCCTAGATAGCAAGGAGCAGAGAAAAGGCACAATTATAATTATATTTACATTAATTTTATATTATTGGATTTAGTTTGTGTGCTTAATACTCAGAGCATTGGCAGAGGAGAAGATCTTCAAAGCATTGATGCATTTTCACCATAAAATCATTAGAGCCCTGCCTAACACCAGAACCCTTCAACAAGGGTCTATGAAATTCACAATTTTGGAAGAGACACCCTTCTTCATCATAACCATGCACTATATTCATCGGTTTAATACCAATGAGCAGAGGAGAAAATTTTCTAAGAATTAATAATGCATTTTTCACTATATAATTAATAGAGCCCCGCCCTGACACCAGAATTCCCTGGGCCCGTGAAATAATTTTGGAAGAGACGCCCTTCCTCAGCATAACTATGTGCTTAGTTCATCGGCTTCATATCCAGGAGCAGAGGAGATTTAAAAAAAAAAATAATGTATTTTCACAATAAAATCGTTAAAGTCCCTCCCTAGCACCAGAACCTCTCACCCATGGGCCAAAAACTTCACAATTTTGGAAGAGACACCCTTCTTCATAATAACCATGCACTTAGTTTATCGGCTTAATACCAAGGAGCAGAGGAGAAGATTTTCAAAGAATTATTGCATTTTCACTAATAAGCAATACAACCTCACCCAAACACAAAAACCCCTGACCCAGGGGTCATGAAATTCACAATTCTTGAAGAGGCACCCTTGTTCATCATAACTATATACTTAATTAGTTTGTTCAATACCCAGGAGAAGTGAAGAAAATATTCAAAGAATTAATGCATTTTCACTAAATAATCATTACAGCCCCGTCCTAACATCAGAAACACTGACCCAGGGGCCATGAGATAATTTTGGAAGAGACGCCTTTCTTCATCAAAACTATGCGCTTAGTTCATCGGCTTTACACCCAGGAGCAGAGGAGATTTTTTAAAGAATTAATTTATTTTCACCATAAAATCGTTAGAGCCCCCCCCCCCCCAACACCAGAACTCTTCTCCAGGGGCCAAAAAATTCACAATTTTGGAAGAGACACCCTTCTTCATAACAACCATGCACTTAGTTTATCGGCTTAATATCCAGAAGCAGAGGAGAAGATTTTCAAAGAATTAATGCATTTTCACTATATTATCAATAGAACCCCACCAGAACACAAAAACCCCTGATCCAGGGGTCATGTAATTCACAATTCTGGAAGAGGCACCCTTGTTTATCATTACTATGTACTTAATTAGTTTGTTTATCAGCCTGGAGAAGAGAAGATTTTAAAAGAATTAATGCGTTTTCACTAAATAATCATTAGAGCCCCGCCCTAACACCAGAAACCCTGACCCAAGGGCCATGAAAAATTTTGGAAGAGACGCCATTCCTTATCATAACTATGTGCTTAGTTCATCGGCTTCATACCCAGGATCAGATTTTTTTTAAAAGAATTAATGTATTCTCACAATAAAATCGTTAGACCCCCCCTCCCTAACACCAGGACCCTTCACCCAGGGGCCAAGAAATTAACAATTTTGTAAGAGACACCCTTATTCATAATAACCATGCACTTAGTTTATCGGCTATATCAATAGAACCCCACCAGAACACAAAAACCCTTACCCAGGGTTTATGAAATTCACAATTCTGGAAGAGGCACCTTTATTCATCAAAACTATGTACTCAATTAGTTTGTTTAATACCCATGGGAAGAGAAGAAGATTTTCAAAGATATATTGCACTTTCACTATACGATCTATATGGCCCCGCCCTAGCACCAGAAACCCTGACCCTTGGGCCATGAATTTTACAATTTTGGTAGAAGGCTTAATGCTTATTACTTATTACAATCATTCCACCAGTTTGATTGCTTGATGTCCAGGAGTAAAGAGAAAGAGTTTTAAAGATTGCATTAATTAGGTGGTTTTAGCCCCACCCTTCAGACCCAAGGGGGACAGGGACCATGAAACTTCACAATTTTTGTTCCCCTTCACCCATAAATGCTATACAATAGTTGAAATTGGTTCAGCGGTTTCAGAGAAGAAGCTGAAAAATGTTCAAATGTTAACGCACCACGAACGACGCCCGCGTGCCGCAGTGGTTAGAGCGTTCGCTCTAGAGTCGCAGAGTAGGGAGTTGGTCCTTACGTTGCGGGTTCGAATCGCACTGTGGGACGTGAAGATCGGTCCTACGGATAAGACCGTATAAACCGAGGTCCCGTATCGCTGTAGGTGCTGACACGAAATAAGATCCCTCACTGCTCAATGGCAGTGAGTGCCGAGTATAGGTAAAAAAAAAATGCAGCTCTCCACCGGCAAGTGGTGGCATCTCCATACGAGTGAAAAATTCTTGAGAGGGACGTTAAACAATAAACAAACAAACAACAAAACAAAACAAAAACGAACACCGACGCACAAAAAACCGGATAGCAATAGGTCACCTGAGTGACTCGGGTGATTAAAAATGTATCGGGATTGGTAATCTACAATGGATCGTGTATACTGACAATTGTAGTAAAGACAGACTGAAATGTCTTTTGGAGGGTTATTTGAAATACGTATTAATAAAATGAAAAATAATAATTTCTAATAATTTAAATTTAATCAATCGTTTGAGGGTTGAGGGATCATATTTTCTGTGATTGTCAAATTTGGCAAAACACTTTTACATTTTAAAATGCTCGCCTTTTCAAACACAATTTTACTTTTATAATAGTGGCTTGTGTATTTTTCTTCAATTATATACTATAGTATCTTGAAAGGTTGTTCATTCTTGATATAAAAGACGTTAAAAAGAAAGCACCTCGTATGTTCTATGTAACTAAACCGCAGTTCCTCAGACCAAAGGTAAAGACTAGAATCAATCAATCCCGGCCCTATAGATCCTCGCTAGATTTATCACGAAGTCATCCTTTATGCAGTAGAATTGATATTTTTACAGTTAGAAATGACTGTTATTTTCAAAATTGAAAAAAGCAACCGGGATTACCTAGGTAAAAGTGTCAAAATAAAAAATTATATGTTTTTTGAACATTGAATATATTTCACTCGTGAGACAATTTTTGGATATTTTCAAGAATAAAAAATATTCCCACCCGTATAATGAACTTCAATTCCAACTATATCCTCTTTATAATACATTTTATTAGATATACATATATGTACAGTGTATATTACTTTAAAATTCAGAAGTTTAGTTTAAGTATCGATTTAAAAGGACAAATCAGAAAATAAAATGTTACATAAATGCTAACTGATTGCCTACACTGGGTCAGGGGTTCTGGTGTTAGGGCAAAGCTCTAATGATTATATAGTGAAAATACATTGATTCTTTAAACATCTTTTACTCGGCTCCTGGGTGTTAAGCCGATGAATTAAGTGCATGTTTATGACGAGGAAGGGTGCCTCCTCCAAAATTGGAAAGTTGTGGACCAGGGTCAGGGGTTCCGTTGGGAGGGGGGCTTATTTATTAAATACTGAAAATGAATTAATAGTTATGATGAACAAGAGTGCCTCTTCCAAATTTGTGAATTTCATGACTTCTGGGTCAGAGTTTCTGGTGTTTGGGCCGGGCTCTAGTGATTATATAGCAAAAATGCATTAATGCTTTGAAAATCTTCTCCTCTGTCCCCTGAGTATTAAGCAAACAAACTAAATCCAATAATATAAATGTAAATGTATAAATATAATTATTAGTAAATGTGCTTTTTCTCTGCTCCTTGGTATCTAGATGGCAAACAGAGTACAAAATTATAATAAGTGAATCAAATGAGAGTCACTCACTTTTGCTAAATTATTTTAATCAAGAAATCATTGTGTGTAATTGAATTAAGGAGGTTGAATTCTGCTATCAAAAGTAATGAGAATTCTTTATCAGGTATATAATTAGAATCTACACTCCTAGCTTAATCAAAAATCAAAACAAAAAATGGGGGACAATGCGCTTCTTTTGGTGCTACGGAGCATTTAGCATGACCTTGTTGCACTGTAATTACGTCCAACACAAAAATCATTTTTTCAATGTTTTTCTCCCAATATTTTTTTATTCAAATAAATTATTGGAAAAAGCACAGTCGTATTCATCTTGAAGAGACACATTAAAATTTGTGACTACAAAAAAGTTTCAAATTACTTCGCATAGTCAATTATTTGACCTTTCTGTGCTTAAAATGTCATTTTTCTGGCATATAAAATTTAACAAGCAATAAAATCATTTGAAAGCAATGACATTTTACTGAATTAAAGAAGAATGGTTAAAGTAACTTATATATTCAGAAAATAAAATTAGAAGTGGGAGTTTGTGTTGTTAATTTTTAGATATTACTAAATTAGTGTTAATTTCAAGCTTCAATTGGGGCTATTTTTTCAGGATTTTCACAATGTATTTGCTATATTTGTCAAATATGATGATAGAATTCATGTTTAATATATAATTTAGGACCAGCATAAAACAGTTCACGGCACAAAATAACTCTGTGTGCAGGCTGCATGGAAAAATGGGAATCAAAACTTAACAATACTTTAAATACTTCAAACGAGATAAAATGATCATTTTTCTTCTCAAAAAAAATTCCGCCACAAAATATAGTTCCTCACTTAATGCTTCTGGGATGGGATTTAATCATGGGAATTTAACTGCATTGTAGTGTAAGAACTAAAACATTATGCAGAATTTTTGAAATGGAGGTCAAGACAAAAATCTGCCCAAAAGCTCAGGAGCGAACCTCTTTAACAGGTTATTTGATTGAATCAAGAAAGAATGTTATATGCATATAAACAAAATAAAAATGAATTTAATTGTTTAATTGAGCAAAGTATGCTCAAAGTCAGATCCTTGCCTGTAAATCAATATAAAAGATTGACATAAAGATTATTTAAGTAGCAAAAGGGCCAATGTACATGTACTGTGGTGTCCTGTTTGACAGTTGACGAGTTATTGACAGATAAAGTAATGGTTGGCAAGAGACTTTATATTTTATCAAAGTGATCATAGAGAGCCAGGGTGACTAGTGGACATGTTGTAGTTAGTAACAAGTGGCAAACAACCATGTTGTAAAGCCAAGTCTCTCTTTGTGTACTTAAGGAATTGTAGCACTAGGCAAGTAACTATATATATTAGGGATGGCAATTTGTAATCGGTTAACCGGTTACTCGGTCGGAACGATGGTAATCGGTTACAAAATCTGTAATCGGTTAGTCTGAAAAAATTAATATATATGTAAATCTGAACACAATCTCATTAAAAAAAATCATTTAAAAAGATACATCAAAAATATCTGAAATGTTAGCATTTTCACCTATCTATTTAAGCTGATTCGGAGATAATTTAGGCTATACAGATGGACACCATGGGGGTAATTGGTCAGTTTTTGAGATGTTAATTGTTTTGTAAACACCATGTCGATACCCGTGTTTCTTTAATAATTTAAATTAAATGATCGTTGAGTACTGCAAACTGTTTATAATGTGTACCTTACCTCTTCTATCCTTTGCCGTTACCTATCAAATTGTATTATTAAACAAACATTGTAAATTAAGCGATAGTTTTGATAATGGTGACAATGTAGAATGAATTTGCACGGCATCTCTTCTGAATTTTTTTTAATGTATCTGATATACTTCAGGCATATCCCATGGGTTTCTTTCTCTCCCTTTTTTTAGGCTTATTAAAATTAAAATAATGTATAATGAAATAATGTATACATCTGATAAATTATAAACATGCCGGTAATATTTATTTACTATATGTAACATTTTTTAATAGAGCTTACAATGAAGAAATATGTCGAGGATTTTTGATACGATTAACCGATTAATCGGTCGGAACGTCTTGCGGTTAACCGATTGGCAATTTTGTATTCGATTGCCATCCCTAATATATATATATATATATATAATTATATATATATATATATATATATATATATATATATATATATATATATATATATATATATATATATATATATATATATATATATATATATATTGTATTTGTATATTCTACATTGATTATCATCCCTGTAAGACTTGGGAAAACCAAGTACAATCATAAAGAGATCACTCAGGTCTCCCACATTACAATAAGCAAGGGTATTTTAACCAGATTTTTTAAATTCTCAGAAACATTGCTTAATCTATCAGGTAATTTTGTTTTATGCTACCATGGATCCTTTAGAGTGTTGTATTATACTCAGGTATCCGTTAAGCCTCTTGTTTTTTTTTTAAATCTAGAAAAAATCCAGCAATGTATGATGTGACAGAAAAACAGCTTGTCAGACCACAGTAAAGACAGTGTAAAGTCACAAGGAAAGTGTTAACTTTGAACGAGTTGAATTTTCAGAATCTGTCATTTCCATAATTAAAACGCTACAATTGCTGATTTGAATATATTCTACTATAAGAATACTGTACAATAGTATATTCGAGAAGTGGTGTAAATCAGATGTATAGACACTTAAAAACTCCAAGGAATATACTTATCGAAACTGGCCTCATTATAATTTGGACACAAGAAAAAATAATGATGAGTATATGTTTTCACCTTCCCTCATGAATATAATGGGAAAGATTTGAAGTTACACACATAAAGATTAATATTTTAGCGAATTATAATGTCTTCTTACAAAACTGAAATATGGCGAGCTACTGTTATTCTTTGTGAAATTTTGCATTCAAAAACAGTTAATCAAAATAACCAGCAAGATCTACGTATTTGTGCATTAGTTTTATAAGATATTTCATTTTGCAGAGTATACGCTAAATCATATTCCTATAAAGATAAAAACAAAGCTAATAGCAGGGTTAAAATAAAGTTACGTATATTGTTACTTGCAGTATTCAAACTATCAACGTTCAAATTCGATATTCTACTAAATTTTTCGTATAATAAAGTAAACACAAAACACACTTTAGTTTTACTGTAAATATCGGAAGACATTACAACAATACAAGGTTACATATTAAACATTGGGATCAATTTGTTATCATAGTGCACACAAAAAAGGGGGATTAAATGACAGCATTGAACAAAGGAAGAATTGTACTTACATGAAGTTAATGGTTAACATAAATTTGAAATAACAGTAGATTTTACTTACTGATGTTCAGTTAAGGAGGTGTTTCTTATACATCCCATGCTTATAAATTCTTCTTTAGTTCGTTCTCTATTATCAAGACATAAAAAAAAACTTATAGTAATAATTTTGACTGCCCATGAATTTCACTTACCTTGTAAAGAGACAAGGTACTGAGGCAACATCAGACAAACGATTATTACCGGAAATCGTATCATTTTGATAGATTTTTGATACTGCTTAGGTGTATATCTTCTTAAATAGCTTTTATGCCTATTTTCTAGAACCAACCCTTTTCTATTTCATTCATAATAAATCTCTACATAAATGGGATTGCAAAGTATCAGCATATTTTTTTCCTCACTCAATTTACTAGATTGAACAGTCAACTGGTTACAATACCCTCAAAATATATATTATTTATATATTATATTATTTATGAAACGTTATGCTTCATTCATTATTTAAATGACACCTTCAATGCTTTTAAAGATATCGTAATTTGTTTGAGTTTAAACCCACTTCATGAGCATTAAGTCCATACTCATTCACATGTTTCAAGTATCGTTTTTTATTTTTTACATTTAAGTCATTACGTGGGTATACTAGTAGAAAATTTGTGATATTATGAATTAAATGTCTGTGTCTGAAAGAACAACTTATTTTACAATTTCATAGATTACTTTTTAAAGAGGGTAATAAAAACGAAAAAAAAAAAGAACGCAATGTCCTCTATGGGTGAACTTGAGGTAAGAACTGTGATGGTATGGTGACTGAAGACTAAAAATTAAATATTTGGGAGATATATATATATATATATATATATATATATATATATATATATATATATATATATATATATATATATATATATATATATATATATATATATATATATATATATATATAAAATATCATAATAATAATAATTGATAAAGCATAAAAATGTTATTTTAAATAAAGTATTAAGTCCTCGTATTTCTAGGGATAGGAGGAAAAACTATGATTAAAGTCAACAATAAGTGGTAAAACCCACTATAAAACCAATACACAAATATGGAGATCATGCTGGTTATTTTAGCTTAACTGTCTTATGAATGCAAAGTTTCACAATTAATATCAGTAGCTCCGCTCTATTTCAGTTTTGTAAGAAGACATTAGGTGTGCGCTAAAATATTAATCTTTATAGGTGTAACCTTAATTCTTACCCGTTATGTTCATGAGGGAAGGTGAAAACATACACTTATCATTATTTTTCTCGTGTCCAAATTATAGTGAGGCCATTTTTCAGTTCGATATGAAGTTATTAAGTTCATATTGTACACGCACTTACTTTATTCTGAGGAGATATTTCATTCAGTGTTGTAATAAACGAAAATCTTTTATATCGTACAATCATACATTCAACCTTCTGATAGATTTGATTAATTATTTTGTTATGATATTGTACAGTAGCAATACAAGTACTTGCGTATTTTCATATTCATGTTTGAGACACATGTATTTTGTGTTGAAAGGACGATTCTCTATGAGGTCATTTCCGGTCTATGATAAAATCTCTTTAAAATGTGAATCTATAGAATTTGATCATTCTATTTTATGATTTTGATTTTGTTTTTCAACATTGATCACCTAAGTCTCAAATATCGTTCAAAATAGAAAAAAAAAATTGGGGTAGGACTATTTACATTAAGTTTCTATGGTTGTTTCTAAATGTAATTGATTGAAAATGTTTATCTATGTCGAAAACATGTCAAACTTAAGTAATAAATGCAAAGATTGTTTCATTTAAGGTTAAGATATTTTTTTTATGACCTGAATTTTGATGCATTCACATTTTGCATATTTTGAATGTAAATCTTTACAAAATGCACACTGTATGATGTTGAAAAATTTTCAATTATAATTTAGTTTAAAGAATTATTTCAAATTAGATAATATTGTTATTGTGTTATATTCTTAAAGATTTGTTTCCTATTTTAGGCATAAAATGCGCTTAGAAGAAATGTGGTTTCGAAGTATCTATTGAACTATCCAAATTGTGCATCAAATTTTGAAAATTGAACGGATTTTGTTTAATAAAATAAATTTTAAAGTTAAAAAAAATCAGAAAATAAAGAACCCATTAACGTACAGGATGAAAATATTAATGCAAGTACATTAGACTAAATATATATGAGTAGTCAGTATACAAACTCAGAACGGTTGTATTAAAAATCAACTGGTACGTAAAATGAAGGAACATTGTAAGAATTGCTTTGATTTCATTTGATTACGCATGTTAAACACTATATTAAATCAAAATAATATATATATATATTTTGATGCATTCACATTTTGCATATTTTGAATGAAAATCTTTACAAAATTCACACTGTATGATGTTGAAAAATTTTCAATTATAATTTAGTTTAAAGAATTATTTCAAATAATGTAATAAATGTAATATATATATAAAATCTTCCCTGTTTTTATGGAGTGGCGTTAAAAAAGGAGGGGGTTGTGACTTGACTGCAAATATAATATGAGCGTCTATCTGAAAAACAGGGAAGATTTTCAACAGCTCCCCTTCAACTACGCATATCAAAAGTTTTAGTTTATCCATAGACTAACAGACTTCTACAACATCCCAGGTACAAATGGGCCTTAAGGGTTTGACGCTCACTGCGAACTCTTGAGGCCCGAGGGTTCAATTCTCGTTCTCGGAGCCGCGTCAAAAACTAAGTTGTTTAACGTGAGTAGTGACTGTTTCTTTGCTAAGTCCTCAGCATTATAAGTAGAAGTCATGGGTCTTTTAGGTATTACCTTTGAGAAAGAGGTCTCGTGCCACTATAGGAATTGGTCAGTAAAGAAACACAATGCATAAATCAAAATTGTAACACTTCGCCTAAAGTGAATGATCTCTTTTCCTGGGTGGAAAATACTAAATTGGCATAAAGCAACATTCAATTATCAATCACATGTGACCTTTAGGGACCCCATACAACTGGATTTAATTTTCTAAGACAGATCTGCTATTCTCGTAGCTACAAAGCTACCAAATATGTGTGTTGCATCCTGAAATACCAATACATTGAGTCCTTTCAACACCCAGGTAACATAAAGTACTTGGAATCAAAGGTCACTCATACGGAGATATATGAGCGTCTATCTGAAAGGTCGAGGCGAGAATTCCCATTATGAAACTTTTATTTCATGTCAGTAATTCCCCATCTCTAAAAGTTACGTGTGTACCTATAGAAAAATAGTTAATAGCACAAATAGCAAATGTATCTTCCTACTACAACATGGTTAGCTTTTATCTTTTCTTGTACTAACAGATATAAAGTACTCCTAAGGAAAAATACAAAGAAATGGCATAGATCAATTAAAATGTAATTACAAACAATAATAATAATTACAAATAACTTATATTCACACCGTATAGTATATAAAAATGTTTTTTTTCTCTATTTCTAGCACACGATTCGATGAGGCTTGTCTTCATCTGTAATTTCATAATATCCAGTCTTTCCTGTTCTTTGATTTTAGAATTTTTAGTAAAAAGTTTATATTTTTCGAGTAAAAGTGCATGGCTTATATTAAAACTCTTGCTAAATCAACAGTAATATGTTTTCTAACTGAAAGTTTATTACAGTGTATATGAAATAATCTGCATAAGCTGATAGTCTTCGCTTTGAGTTATGGGCTTTTCCTGCAAATGTTGTAAAAATGGAAAGTTTTTATTAAGATGTCAAAACCACCTTTAACCAAGTTCATAATCTGGTAGTCACTTTTTATGCTTATAAGAAGTGTATAGTATATGGCCATAAGCGAGTCATAATTGCATTTCCATTGAAAAACCAATTTTTATAAAAACTAAATGTGAGGTCAATTTTTGCCAAATTTCCATGATTTTTTCACTGAATCATGCAGAATTGTCCAAATTTCCTTGTCTTATAATGCTAAACAAAATGATACATTAATCATTGAGAAAAATTTATTAGATCGTAAAAACAAAATTTCTAATCTCAAATTACTATGGTTTCTTAACAAGTTACAGTCGTAAAATTTTTAATAAGCATTTGACATGTGATATCACCGCAATGCCTACAGATAAAATTATTTTGAAATTATATGAAGAAACTGCAAATTAATTCTACATTTTATGGTGTTTTAGTTATCAAAAATGAGCCAACAAATAAAACTGCAATAATATTTTAGAAAATTGCATTTTTCAATAAAATATATAGTATAAAAATAAAATTATGACTCACTTTTGACCAGGTACTGTACATGCCAGTTTTGGTGTTGGAAAGTTGGTTATGACATGTGAAGGAGTTATCTAACACACCCACCCTCTTGATTTTTCCCAATACCCTAATGCTAGTAGATTAATTTGTGACCGTATATCACAATAAATACTAGAGTATCATTCAACAATCAATTTTTATCATTAAACTGGAACATTAACGTAACGTTTCATGCAGTTTTTAAAGTAAAAAAATATTTCAAAAATTGAAGTCATTGTAGGCCGCAAAACGGCCTTATAGAGAATGATCCTTTAACGAAGGGAGAGGGCAAACCTCTGCTGCTATATCTAATTGTACAAATTATTACAGAATAATATGTTTAAATCAGAAATTTTAGCATTTTAATTCTGGAGATGTCAGATTCTGAAAATTTTAATATAATTAAACTTTTCTTGTGATTTCACACTCCTGTCTTTACTGGGGTCTGATACGCTGTTTTCTTTCAATCATACATAGTCATAGTTCGTGTTTTCTAGCTTAACAAATTGAATACGAGGAATAATTATGCGTATCTGTTCTCTACTACCTGAAATACGTACAGCCAAAAACATAGATCGGTTGATTGATTGTCTTGAGTTCTCCGAATCAACTACATATGTCACATAAATATTAATACTACACCTTTGTAGGCAATCAGTTAGCATCTGTGTAGCATTTTATTTTCTGAGTATTCCGTTTAAATCAATACCTGAACCAAACTTTTGAATTTTAAAGTAATATATATATAGTGTATATGTATATTTAATACAATGTATTATATCAAGGATATAGTTTTGTGATTGGAATTGGAATTCATTATACGAGTGGGAATATTTATTTTATTCCTGAAAATACCCAAAAAATCATGTCTCACGAGTGAAATAAATTCCATGTTCAAAAAGTTTTTAATTTTTTTTTTTGTTTTGACACCATTAACTATGTAATTGTTTTTTTTTTTTTTAAATAAGTCATGTCTAACTGTAATTATCAATTCTATTCAATGCATAAG